AATACAGAAAGCACATGCCTACCATGTCTTGACATGCAATGTTATTCCTGAATAACATTTCAATTAGTCTTCTTTTGCCTGTAAATCACTGCATTTAATGTTCATGGTTAAGCTTAGGGAAACCTAACATGCATTTCAGATAATCACCCAGATTCCCTCTTGGTCCAACTGCTGGTCCCCCAAGATGAAATGAGGGTGGTGGAGGTCCCAGAATTCCTGGTGCTGGGTTTGTAGATTGCTGCAACATGAATGGATCACCCCTAGATAAAGAAGTCCAACAGATATAATTAAGATTTATTGTTAAAGTACCCTATGACCTCCTTCAACCTTAGGAGCATTTAGATGTGAAGGAACAAAATGAAAAAAATCTACAGTAACAATAAAAGAATAAAAAATATGTATTTTTTTAAAGTTCAACTACAGTAACTTTTAACAAAATTCTCACCTATCAAATAAAGAAATTCTGAAAATAGTGTTTATGAAATGCTGAAAATAAAACCTCAACTTCTTACATACTGATCTCCTTTAAAAACAATAGCTTAAAAAAATTTGACTTACATTGTATGTCCTGTATCATTGTCAGGATTCCATTCTGGGTAGCTTTAAAAAGACCAGAAAATTAACTTTAAAATAACTGTCCTTGTCACAAAGTAGCCTTGTTTGGCCTCTAAAAGAAGATTATTTATTAGTAAAGTTATCTGAGGGCCTAAGTATTAGAAATATTAGTTTTAAAGCATGTCATATAGGTTATTTCTAAAGTTAAGAAAAATTTCAGAAGTTCAAAATAACAAATGAGTATAAACTTGTTCAGTATTGCTTAAAAATGTAATATATTTTAAAACTATAATGTTCCCTGAATTTGTTATATACCATTAAAGAAGGAAAGTGCTACAAGAATTAGAAATGTTGATGACATAGGGAAACAAGAATAGACCACAGGTCTTCCTTCTCTGATATTAAATATCAAGAGCAGAGTAAAATTGTGGCACTAGAAAGTTAAGTATAACCTAAATAGAGCTAGGTTTATGTGCAAATTGCCACGCCAGTGAACAATGGCACTGAGGGCTGCTATGGCAGGATGTTTCTTTAGGAATGCAATTTCATTCTAGCAGTTTCAACTCAAAACAGTAAAGGGAAAAAGTATCTCCAAAGTTAAATATATACTGTGAAGTATTTTGCTTGACAAACCAATCTGTTAATTTTGAATGACTTTCCCTTTTCTGAATCTGCTTTATTTTTGTTGTTATGTGCCATCAAGTTGGACCTAACTCATAGCTACCCCTCCTTGGGTTTTCCGAGGCAGGATCACTTCGCAAGTAGATTGCCCAACCTTCCTTCAGAGGAGTAGCTGGTGGGTTTGAACCGCCAGCCTACTGGTTAGCAGTCAAGTGCCATAGGCACTATGTTACAAGAGCTCCCCCTTTATTTTTAGAGAATGTACTATTCAAAGTGCTATTAAAGAGAATGCATTCTGTATTATCAAAGACTACCTTTAAGAATATTAAAAATCCTTCCAATTTGTTTAAAAAGAAAAGAAAAAGCCAATGTGTATTTACCCTACCAAGTATTAAACAAGGTATCAGTATCACTTCATTTGGTATTAAATAAGTTCCAAATCTAAGCATTTTATGTGTAATTAGTGTAGCCTGGCCAATATTAACTATGTAGTAACAATATTTTGGGTATTATAAATAAATGAGGAATTCCCAAAAATCATCAATGGCTGTTTCTGATTCATGATAAGGAAGCTTTAAAGGTATTTCAAACTCCTACATTTCAAGAAGAAGCTGGCATCGACGACTGTGACTTGCTCCATTGATATGTTGACTCCACTCCTGCAGCAAAGTAAATTAGTAGAATTAACAAAAATAAAGTTAAAATTTTCTTTTGAACCATTCAAACTCTAGGGCATTAATCTTTGTGCAGTATCATAGCTTTTACAAACACCTGCCCATTCATTAAATCACAATGATTTAATTTTAAACCATTTTTCTGAATCCTGGTAGCTTGATCCTGCCCTCAAATACGCTAGGCACATTCTTGGAAAAACTGGGTAATTTGGTTAGTAATACTAAAAGGCCTGACAGGGAAAAGATATAGAGTATCAGAAGATCAAGAGTACTAATGGACTTTGAGATCAGTAAGGCAAATTAATTTGTTATTAACTAAACTGAATTATTCATGTTAGATTATTAGAATGTTTAAGTTTAAAAGATAAAAATAGCCATGTTTAGATCTACTTTTCTAGAAAATACTACAAATATGAACAGCTAATTAAAAACAGAATCTTTAATTTCATCCAGCCCGTGAGGCATGTACCAAGAGTACTACCTACTAAATACGCAATAAAAAATGCACGGTTTTGTGCTGTAAAATTTAAAATCATTCAACAGCAACTTTTCTAGAAAAAAGTACCCCAAAGACCAAAAGCTAGGCTTTCATGTTATTTTTCAAAAATAAAGAAGAAAGTTTAAGGATGCCTGTTTCCAAATTTTAATATGGAAGGAAGTGGACTACATTCTGTCACTTTTTGCCCCTTTGTGGTTTAGTTTATATTTTAAGGAATTAATTTTTTCCCTATTCCATTAAAATAAATTTTCTTTCCTTGGGGGGAAAACAAACCAACCCAAAAATCTATATATATGTGAATTAAATTTTTAGGCACCATAAGAGGAGTTAAGAAATATAAACTGTGCCGTCAGACTACCTAGGTTCCCTTCCCAAAGTTGACATTTGCTAGAGTCCTTAATGTTGTTGTTGTTGTTATGTGCCGTCGAGTCACACTCAACTCATAGTGACCCCTCTCCTTGGGTTTCTGAGGCAGTATCACTATGGAAGTAGATTGCCCTATCTTCCTTCTGAGGAGTGGCTGGTGGGTTTGAACAGCCAGCCTTCTGGTTAGCAGTCAAGTGTCTTAGCCACTATGCTACCAGAGCTCCTAGAGTCCATAATAGGAGTTATTTAATTTCACCGTGATTCAGTATTATCACAGTGTTGTTATGAAAGTGAGTTAATAAATATAAAAAGTTTACCAGAACATTGCCAGACACATAAATGTGCTAAAGTAACAGGTGAAGAACTATCATTACACTACCTATATAAAACCATCTTGTTTTACACACTCCTACAAACTGAGACCACCTCTGCAAAACCCAAATTACCTAGTACAATTATATTTGGTTAGGCAATTTTTAAATAAGGGAGTCTCACTTAGAGCTAAGATAAGGCAAGCAATCACAAGAAACACCTTCTTGGTAAGCTTAAGATCGGTATTTTGTAAAGAGGATCGTAATTTTTAAAGGCAGATTTATACTACACTGGTTTATACATATATCTCTATGCCCTAACAGAATGAATTAAAACTCTGTTGAAGGACTGAGATGCAACACATCCAAAAACAATGGTACCACCTCAGAACTTTGATGAGCTACCAAATACTATTACCATGATTCTCAAAGTTTAAGATTGTCTTTTTAAAATAATGGCTAGCGTTAAGGAACTCAAGAGATCTTTTCAGCTTGCTCTACAATCAAGTATTTGGGTAATGAAAGATTTCTACTTGCAAAGCAACATAACCTTGACTTGCTGGCACAGTCACTTTTTAAATGGCTGTAACCAAAATTTTGCCACAGGTAAAGTTCACAAAATTCAGAAGAATGATTAAATAAATACCTTAATTTAGAATTTAAAAATTTTTTTAGAAATCTTCCTATTTAAAATATCCCTGAAAAGTAGTGTTTTGGTAAAGTAGCAAGTTTTCCTATTAGGCATGCTTCTCTAATTCACAGGAGATAGAAAGGGTATATAAAAGAACAGAAATTATTTATACCCAATCCCCCATGTTCTTTATAAAGGTTCAAATCTCTAGTAAAAGTGGGCTGGTCTTTCAAAGTGCTAAAAAGACAAAACCAGAAAATGAGATATGTACCTCCCAAACCCAGGCATTACTAATCTATACTTCTGGTAACACCTAACCTTTGTTTAGTCTAAACCGAGGACCAAAAGTCAAGAGGATTTAAAAAATAAAAAACAAACTTACATCCTTGGATTCTACACTGACTCTTACATCAGATTAATAAAGAATAAGGATTCAGTTTTTGAATTCAGAGGTTTCTGTAGGAAAATTACATTCAGCTTAATGTTTTCTAAGACATCAAAAGCTATATAAAGAAAGGATAACTTGGAGAAGCACTTCTGGAATGGAGGAATAAAGAATAATTTAAGGGTTTCCTTCTAGAATAATACTAAGAGGAAAAATATGAACTAATGTGACAAAGACAGTGAGAGGGGCTATAGTGGGCAGTTTTATTTAAGTTAAAGGAATTTGAGGGAAGTTTTGAGTTGTGTAGAGAAGCAACCAACATGCTAAAATGACCTAGGAAGAAGTTAAGACCAATAGCATCACTGAAAAGTCACTTAAAAATGTCAAAAAATGATTACTTCTATGACGGCAAATTAATGTTTTCAACCTAAATTTCCCTTTTTCATAGTAAGAAGAACTTTTGATCATGTAGGCTTTAATGTTACCACTAAATAAAACAAACAGATTTTCCAAGTTATGCAGCAATACCAGAGAGCAGGATTAAACATTTAAAAATTTTTCACTGTCTACTTCCACCACAGGAATTGTCCCTAAAATGTAGATTGTTTCTACATCAGCTATAAAATGAGAGGTATCTACTTGTAAAGTAAGTAAGTAGTTATTTTATCAACAACATAAATACAAAGAAATTATTAGCTATGTCAAGGAAACTAGAAAAACAAAGAGAAACCAGGTGCTTAAACTTAAAATTGCCCTAATTTACAAATACAGTAAATTCTGAAAATTAAACGATTAAACAAAAGGCCTCCAAGGTACTTCTTAAATGCACTCAATATTTTCATAGACTATGAAAGCTAACTAAGGCCTAAGCATTTTACAGGCTAAAAGCACCTCTTCACACTAGAGTTAAGGTTGTTATCTTACTCTTGAATCCCAAGTAAAATCAAGTACTTTAAAAGTGCTCTTTTGTTAATTTAGATGCATTTAAGCAAGCTTTCTTCAGAAACTAGAAGGTAGCAAAATTTGAAAAATGGATAATCTTTCCTTTGATGAAAGTAATCTCATGGTTCTTTTAAGTTCCTTTATTGCACTATTCTAGGTACAAGGAGCAAAGTTAAATTATTGCTCAAAGTCAGAAAGTAAGCTTCCAGACAGCTTTATAGTGATGTAATGATTCCAGTAGCAAAATTTTTAAGTCTAAAATCAGTTTCATTTGAGACACTGTAACTAGCTCTTTGCCCTGGAATTCAGAGATCTTTTTGAGAACATTGGTCATAATGCCATTGCTATCATTTCTTTATAAATAAGCAAAAATAGAGAAAAAAATTGGAGCCACCATACTTTAAAGGACTTTTTCACTATTTCAACTTATACTAATCTAGAACTTGGTTTAGTAATGCACAAAGAATAAAACAAATTCCATGAGTATTCTAAGTGTATCTAACATATTTGAGAAGTTAACATTCTAGAAGCACCAAAATAAAAGTGTGCTGACTTGTGTTTGGGGCTCATTTCTTAAATGAAGATAAACCTATAAACCTAAATTTAGCGTTTATTTAGTTTATTTTGGTGTGGATTAAAGATTAAAAGATTTGTTTGTGTACTTGACCTATTTTATATAAGAAATCAAAAGATTTTTGTATTATAGAAAGACTTTTAAACTAAAAATTATTTTTAAAGGTATTTTCCAAAGTACTGTATAAAATCAAATATGAAAGAAGCCTTTTTCACTTAAATATCTAAAAGACCAAAATTCTGAGATCCAAACATAGGTAAAGAGGTAAGTGGGAATTCATTTTAACCAAATTAAAAAAATGAAATCTCTACTAATATACTTATGATTTAAGCTACTCAAAAGTTAATACTCACTAAAACCTGAATTTCAAAGGAATAGGATACAGTAAGAATATGACCCTTCCAGATGTTACTGTAAAGAAAAAGCCTGTAATAGTAACCATCAAATCAATTTCATGGCAGCAACATGTTCTAGTTAAGTAGAGACCATACAGCACATCAGGAAAAATGGATGGTCACAGCATCAAGCTAGTAGAGTGCTATAAAGTTGACTTTAAGTCAACTGCACTGTATATTTTTTTAAAAATCAGTGAGAATGCGTAACATTGAAAAAGTTGAAAGAGAAAGGATAACATATTCAAAAGGGCATTTTGAAAAAGTTCCCATTTTGCCAGATGTGATATGATAATTACAGCAAAGAATTAGAATTTTTTGTTGTTCAAATGACTATACCAGAAGTCTAAGCCTAAATCAGAAAAAGAATATGCTTACGAGGAACACAAAGCAGGATACTGCAGTAGTTGATTTTTCCAAGCCTCTAATGGGACAGATGCAATATGGGACAATAAAAAGTGAATTTTGAAGTATGTTTAAGAAAGTTGTGGAAAAGGAGGAAAAAAAACGATGAAAAATTTCAGTCATACTATGAGAGTTTGTGTTAAAGGGAAATTAAAAAAGGAAGAATGAACTAATCTAAAATATGAAACACACTGAAACACCAGGGCTCTACATTAACTCTTTCCCTGTAGCCACAGATAAGGAAAAAAAGAGAATTGTTCAAGAATCTTTTACTACATACAAATCGGCAATCAAGACAGATGGAGAGCTAAAATCTAGATCCTGAATGGGAGAACACATTAACTGCAAAAAAATAAAAATTAAAATAAATGCTTAAAACAATTCAACAAAGCAGACAAAAAAACCTGCTTAAATGTATGATTAAGAAGAACATACTGATGCCAAAAACCAACAAGATATTCCCAGTAGATGACAGTTTTGTGGCCAGAAGTAATCTAGGCAGACTGTATTAATGTAAAGCCCTGGTTTTAAATGCTCAAAAACAATTACCTTCCAAATAAAGTGTTCTCAAAAGTATAAAAATTCTTGATCAACTCAGTGTCATCAGACTATAGAGATAGAGTAAAAGATATAGGTAAAAACAGAATAGGTACTACAATGTAAAAGAAATTAGAAGTATCTGTTGCATTAACTCACCTTATTAGAATGAACTGGCAAATCACATATAGAGCACAGATGGGGATAACCCTTCGGTAAGAGTCCATGGAAGTCTTCAATATTGCTACTTGGAGGAGCGCCTCTCTTTTTCTCAAAGAGAGATCTCTCTTGTAAGGGGCCAGGACCACGTCCCATTCTCTCATACTCACTGTCAAATTTATGATAGTTATGCGAGGTCTCACCAAAAAAAGAATCATCCCTACACCTTTCTCCATCTCTTAATCTGTCATCTTCATAATCCATTCTGTCATAATAACCAGATTCTTGAGAACGACTTCCATGGTCATAATCAAGCACTGGGTTGAGACTAGGACCACGATCATCAAAACTATCTCTTCTAAAGTGCCTTTTTTCTTCCCAATCATCCCTAGGTACTCTGTATGGTGGCTCCCGTGTAGCAGATCTGCCATCTCTACCATAACTCAATGTAGGGCCTTCTTCAGTTCTCCTCCTTTTAAGCTGCAGAAGGATTTGGGGCAAATTCTCAGGAGTAATCTTGTCCTCTGGATAACGACTCAGTTCATCTAAGTCTCTAGCAGACAGACCAAAGCTGGCCAAAATGTTACTGGCCTGGTCTGCATCTCCACGGTGTTGAGAAGACAAAGGGAGTGGACCTCTACTTCCAATGTTAAATATAGACTGCAAATTATGGGAAGAAGTACTAGCAGAAGACAGTGCACTATGAGCTCCTTGTTGATTCAATGAAGAACTCATTCCAAGATTCATTAAACTAGCAAGGCGTGCAGTACCCTGGTTCATCCTTCCAAGAGATGCTGGCATACTTAAAGACTGGGTAGCAGCAGCAAGAAGGCCTATTCCTGCTGCAGAGAGGTCACGCCCATGACCCTGCGAGTCCCTACCGAGAGATGACTGCTGGAATGACTTGGACATTGTAGAACTATCTCTTGTCTATTTTATAGATTTAAAAAAAAAAAAATTTTTAAGACGGCCAAAAAGAAAGCTCAGACTAGAAAGCTAGGTTAACTTTGCTTCAAAAATGGTAACGCCAAGAAAAAGGATCAATAAGGACTGTAGAATCTTCTTCAAGCTGAGAACCAGCAGACAACTCTGTAGAAAAATAAGCAATTTTAGTCATAAATCCCTTTAAGTAGATGCTGTTTTTTTTAAAGAAAAAAAAAAACTTATGCATCATGTTGATTTTAAAAAAAACCATTTAAGATGTCAAACTTATAAGGAATTTATTACATATCTTAAACAGATTCCAGATGTATGCAGAGCCTGCATATAGATATTTAAAAAGTACTCTTTTGTACGAAAGTGTAACTATTAAAAGGAATTTTCACACTAAGTTTAAAAACATTTAAATTGAAGGGTTAGATGTCTGAAATACATAAAAATTTCAATAAAAATATAGATAGGCCTTTTCTTTTGGAAGAATAAAATACACCCTAGAGTATGATGCTTAAGTTCCAGAAGACTAAAAACAAAAAGGCTAGGCGAGCAAGTCAAAGATGAATTAGTTGTATTCTGCTTTGGAAAATGAGACCTATTATCACTATCAGAAAGAATCTAGCAAAATCTTAAGTAAATGAAGCTTAAGTGACAAGTACCTATTATAAGATCTAAGACCAAACACAATAGCTGAGACCTTTATGCAGCAAAATAATTTTGAGGTGAAGACAGACAGATGTAAGAAAAATAAATCACTTCCTACTGTTTAGGGATTTCTATCCATATTTAAACCATTAACTGCCTTCTTACTGCCCACCCTACGTCAGGCAGTTTATTTCATAACCGATCTTAAAAAGCAAGGAGAACTAAGTCTGGTTAGCACAGGAATAGGAGACCTCCCAAGAAAAACCCAGGCAGGTAATAGGAAGTACAGGTAATTTAAAGAAGTCACATTTCCTCCCCACTGCCAGGTTGGCATCCATCAATGCTCAGGCCTACAACATCTAAAGCTCTGTCAGGTAAAAATGAAAATGAGATCATGGTTGCAGAAATTCCTGTAAACTTTTCACAAGAACAGCCCACCTGGAAAATTTACAATTCTCAATCTGATCTCCAAGATGTCTTTCAGGATGAAATTATTTTCAATTTGTTCCTTAAATTATCATTTTATCTTTTATTTCCGTTACTAAAAATTTACAGAGCATTTATGTATGATTCTCAAAAAATGTTACAAGATGTATATCACAAATGTCCTCTATGAAACAATTTTATCACAACTACATACACATGTTAACTCTGAAATTATGTTTGCGTAGAATTCTACTACAAGCATTGCTCAGATATACTTGATACGTTTGATCACTCATACACCTAAGCACTGGTAGTTAATATATTAAACTTTATTACACCAAAACCCAATCAATATTCAATAGTTACAAGTCTATTATGGGACCAATTCTACTAACAACAGATTAAAGCAAGGATACACTGGACGAATACAGTGTCAGAGGAAGTTTAAAAAAAAAAAAGTTACAGGTAAGAAAGATTAGATTTATAATAAAAGAGATGTAATAAAGTTAAGACACAGAAATGCTTTCAGAGGTGGCCAGAGTTAGAGAATGTTTTTGCACACCAAGAAAGATGAACTGAAAAAAGACACCAAAGAAACTAGAGCTAGATGGGTTCAAGTATGTAAACTACTTAAGCGTTGAAATAAGATTATAAAAGACAAGAATAAGTGGAATTCTTTGGATGAAAGCTTCTTTGATGTCATGTAAATGCCATACAGGATGACAGTTGAAATCACTGTGCAAACATTGGTAGGAGCCTCTAAATTTTCATGTATACTTTAAAAACCAAAATCTGAGGTCTTCCAAAATACAATTCAAAATCAAATTATTAATTGCAGCTCTGACCTTCACATTACAGCCAAAGTTTTATATTACCAAAACTTAGTCTTTTGAAAGAACTACTCTTTCCTCTCAGGAAAGTTATATAATGGTATAATAATCTTGTGAAATTTAAAAATTGATGTATTTAAAGGAATCTGTTAATGTTACAGAGATCTCAATTATATTTTTCTGTAACTTAGGTGAAAACAGTGGATCTACAAAAGGGAAGGCAAAGAGAAGTAAAGGTAAAAGATGATAACCTTAAGACAAAACAGAAAATGGATGTCCAGAAAAAAGTCAACACAAACAATGCAAATTCCATGACAATTTGTAATTCCGTAAGAACAGCCTTAACATTTTTGAGAATGAATTTCAACTTAAAATGCAGTCACGCACAATGACATGACAGTTGTATTATAAAAAGAAACTTAAGTACTACTGTAGGACCTCTGATCAAAATACCAAAACCCAACCAAAGTCTTTGAAATTTTTTTATTAGAAGAAACTGAGAAAATTCAGACATGATAGCATTGTTGAAGTATTTATGAAAATAGTTCCTTTATTATCTCTGGCCAGTGCTGAATGTAAGTTGTAGCGTATAAGCCATTTTCAAAGGCTCATTTAAACAAACCTGCTGCCTATTATTATCGCAACAGAGACACTTACTAAATTGCTCAAGATTAGCTTCTTTTACTGAATAAAATTTGGAAATAGCCCCTTTGGGAGAAATAATCTAGAACTTAGTGTCAAAATCCAATCTACCCATTTAAATCTTTATGTCCATCAACGCAGTTATCTTTCACTGCCAAAATCAAAACATCTCTACCTCAAACCAAGATTTTTTTGAAAAAAAAAAAAAAAAAAAAAACCCAACACTATCCATAATTTGATTTCACAAATGCCATTTTCTATAATCTGGTATTTCAATTATTAATTTAAGGTCCTAAAACTCTATATATTCACACTGATTTGAGATTGACTGCAGATTTTATAACCTAACAGGATTTTCATGCATTGTGAAACTATAGATACATGTACATGTGTTTTGTGAGCTGTTGGAGGAAAACGATATATAAAAATGTGCATTTACCTTTTTTTAAAATAAAACACTGACAAAAGGAAAAACAAAAAAACTTATTATATAGAGACAACTTCAAAGAAAAATGGAATGGTTGTTAGCAAACCATCCAAAAAATGCCAGCTCCATGTTAAAGATCTGAGCAAATATCACCCTTACGTACGGTTAGCAAATAAATGTTTTAATTATATTCTAGCTCCATTCCATGAGTAGCTATTTGATATTATTTTCTACTCCAATTAAAAGTATTGGAATACCAAGAGAATTCAGAACCAAAGTTTAACATATTCAGAAAATTACTGTTTCTTTATCTACATTTCCTCATATATAGAGATTACCTAATAGTCATTTTTTCCAGAGGGTTATTTAACAGGATTACTAAAATTGTAAGACAGTAACACTGTCTTAATTTCTTAAGGAACAATCCTTCAACTTCTGAATTTGAAGTGAAAAATGCTTTGTTTTTTAAGTATGCTTATAGATAATCTACTGTTTTCAAGTTATAATCATTCCTTGAAAACAACTAATTATAGGCATACCTCTCACTCACTGAGCTTTGCAGACACTGAGTGGTCCCACTCTCCCAAAAAACAAACCTTCGTTTGTGGCAACCCTGCCTCGAGCTCATCTATCAATGCCTTTTTTCCAACATGTACTCATTTCGTGTGTCTCTGTCACGTTTTGGTAATGATTACATTTCCACTTCTTTTATAATGCTATTGGCATATGTAATAGACTACAGTATAGTGTAAACATAACTTTTATAAGCACTGGGAAACCAAAAAATTCATGTGACTCATTTTATTACAACATTCGCTTTATTGCAGTGGTTTAGAACCTAACCTGCAATATCTCTAAGGTATGCCTGTATAATTTCTTATTGTAGTTTCTCCTCCTGAATTATAAAAAAAACATAAAAAGGTAGTGGGAGCAATTTCAGATTTCTATCAAGGTCAAACATTCTTGTGAATTGCAAAATAGATTAGATAGATACATAGATAGGTAAATGTATATACGTATGTATAAATAAAAAATATATTTAGGGTAACCAAAAAACCCAACTCGTTGCTGTCACATGTTTCTGACTCATAGTGACCAACAAAAATAATATAACTAGTATTAAAAAAATAAAAATTCCTAACCTTGTCACTGTTTTATGGCAGGGAAGCATCATCTGGAAAGGCAGATTTGGTTTTCGTCACTAATCATACAATAATATTGATTATTATTCAAGACTCCCATTGTTCTGACTCTTTCTGTTCAAGAACAGGGTTAAATTAATTATTCAAGTTCCTATTACTTCCTTGTGTCAGATTACAGTCTTTTCATCAATCCATCCTTACCTATTAATTTTCAAAGCAGATCTATAAAGAACTTACCAACATAGCTTCTATTTCAAGTGTTAGAAAATTTTCATTTTAAAGTTAGTTTGCATCATTTTATCTTTCCTTAGTATATTTTGTAACTTTTATTTAAGGGCTTGATTTTTTAAATTATTACAGTATCTGAGAACTACTCAATTTTCTTCCTAGAGTTTCAAGTATTATAAAATCTTTTACTTTAATCTGTGTTCTTAAGTACCATCGTATCATTTCAGTATAGCATATACCTTTGGATAATGGGAATTGTTTTTTAAAAATAAAGTACTGAATAAATAAACGCCTTAGGAAGTAAGAGTCCCAGTTCCATTAACCTCAGTTTTGTAATAAAGCACTATGTGCATCATGACACAATAAAGATAAACCACTGTAAAATGTAGTGCCAGGAAGGCTGAAAAATAATATTGCTGTAAGACTATTGCTCTTAATCCACTGACAGACCTGGAATTCAACTTCTACACCACTTCTTGATCCTTAGAGGTCAATGATAGATAAGAGGGTTGCAGAGTGCCTTCAGCTGCTGAGAAGATAAAAAACTTCATGTTAATTAGTAGAAGGGATTCCTGGTCTTACTTGGAACAATACTTTCTTCTTCCTAGCCTTAAAAAATCTCCTAGTGACTTTCAATCATTTAGGCTGTAG